TGGGATGGGAGTGTCAGGGACAGTGCGGTTGGCACAGGACAGAGCGGAGTTTAGGGCTGTTGTACATAAGGTCATTATGAGTCGCAAGCGACTCGAAGGCACATAACAACAACAACAACGGAGACTATGCTCATAATGGGCTAACACAATGATTAGAAAAGCCAATTTTCAAGGATTCTGACACCTCAATATCATTTTGGTTTTTAACAATCTTCAGGAAAATTTTATTTGAATATGATATTAATGATACTGTTTGCTAGTTCCCACCTTCTACTGGATCATATTTTTTTGCAGTAAGAACAAATAGGGATCTCTTCCAATCAGTTGGTCATATAGCAGGCCTAGTAAGCAAGCACACAACACACTAGCATCATAGCACAGACACTAGGCCAAAGGTGAGGTGCATTCCATTGATATGGAGAGGGACTTGGACCTCAGAAGGTCTCAGAAACCTCACATTTGCCTGCAACAATTATAACAGATACATGTGTAAGACATATGTTCGCTGATCTGAATGTTTCCATAGTTTCATTAAGGAATACAAAAAGAGTGTTAAAAACCAAAGCACTTGAGCATTTTATTACTATACACAAACTCTAAAAGACAGAGGAACTGAAAATCCCACAGTAGAAATGAACTAAATATAATGTAATGAAGTACTATATGGCACACAAGATGCATGCATGAAACACTATGCATATGAATGATAAAAATATTAATGAGACAAAGAAATAGGGGAACTAGAAGAAGATAAGGGGAATCTACAAATAAGTATTTGCCACACAGGAGAATGTTGTATAGATATGGTGGAGTCCTGCTGCCCACCATGGATTGTGGTTATGGATTGAGGAAGTTGGACCTGGGAGAAGTAGCCTGGTAGGTCGTCCTGTTCACTTGCTTACGGATTTTCCAAAAGGTGAGTACAGTGGGCATGGGGTTGTATTTTCTTCTATTAAATGAACATAGAGGGCTGAAGCATGAATATTGGAGCTTTATATTTCAACAAAGATAAATCACAAACACTTTCTTTGCTCTGAGTCTGAACAACTCTTTAGAAGCCCTTTCTGGAAAAAGCAAGGAGCTTTTAGGAATGCTACAAGATCCAAGAGCACTTGGCAAGAGGGTAGTAAAACCTAATTATGCTTATTCTGGTTCCTTGGTGGTAGAAGGGGCCTTCATTCAGCATGTTAGGTTTAGGGAGCACCTATGCCTTAACTCTTCAAGCTGGCCTTCCTATAGAGCACCTGAAGTAGCCCAGTACCATATAAGGAGGTCTCCTTGGGGGAAACTATTAGTTTCTTCCACAGCTCACCATAGTCCCCACTTTCATACCCTAGCACAGGTTTCACTGCATTCACACATCATCCTCAGCCTCCTCAGCTTCTGTAAAAAGTCTTCAGGTGATCAATAAGGGGACTGCATAGTCAAAGCTAACTTCAGCAGGGCTCTGCTATCACCACCTGGTTCCTTCTCTGGCTCCTTTCCTCTTGATCCTCAAGCTGAGGGACAAGTGTGACCCACTGAGTTCTCTGACACTTGTAGCAAGTTCCTCATGGCACTTTGGGGAGTAGACCACGCCCAGGAGTCCCTCCTCCTCAGGCCACACGTGCAGAGATGCCTTTCAGCCTCCTTGCTGCCAGGATATTTCACAGAAATGCACACAGCACGTAAACACGGACATTGTATTATCTTCCAAAGTGAGAAAACGGTTCCTGCAGTACCACGTTCAGGAAACGCGGTTTTCTATTGAGTTTAGCTTAAGTCCACCCTATAGGATGGTGGCTGAGCGCTTTCAGACAACTCCTTCCCAGTGAGCAGGACTTCAAAGGCACCCAGAAGTGCAGGCTCTACTTGAGGTGGGGGCTTCCCTAGAGCACTCAGTAGAAAGTTTCAGCTTCCCACAGGGCAAACAGGGGTGAGGGCGGTCATTTTCTCCTTCGATGGCTCAGATGATTGTTGTGTCAGAACTTGACCCTCCTGCAGGTTTTCAGAGGCCCAGGAGGAGATTGCCTGTCCTTCTCAGGCAGAACAGCTTGCTCCAGAGCAAGGGGAGTAGGTGGAGGAAGGAAAATGAAAGCATAGGAATTGTCTAAAGCTGGTAACATCTCTACAGACTCCTATGCCTTCCATATTTCCATATAATCTTGCCCTGTCCCCCTTAAAACTCAGGAGAATAGGATATTGATACGAATCCCCACGCCCCCTCACCCCGCCCGCCACGCACACTTTGCTCCATCCTGGCCTACGCCCCCACCTAGCGGTTTAAACTCGCCTGCTTACACGCCTTCTGTTTAGATTTCCAGATGGGTGCTGCAGGTTTGCGAAATAGTGAAGTCTGATTGGGCACCAGATATGGGTGGGTAGGGTGAGCAGGAGAAGGCTCCTTTAAACCAGGTACAAAACAAGCTTCAGTTTTGCCCCGCAGTGCTGTCTGCTGCCCGCAAGAGCAGTGAACTGGGAAAGAAGTGCATCCATTAGGAGCTTGGCTGGGGCAACCCAAACAGCTTCAAATGGATGGATGTCTTTGGAGCATGGCCACCTTAGTTAAAGGCACGCCTCACACTCTAAATATGTTTTAGTTTCTTCATAAAACTCAATGTTGTATGAAACTATCCAAATTTATTTTTTAAGTCTGTCTGCCTCTTTTGGAAGATAAATTGCTTTTAAATTGGGTCTTGGGTCTGCTCCTGGGCCTTCATACCTGTGATGTGTCCAGCATGGTGTAGGCATTCTATTTTGTGTCTGTCTGGCTTAAAGACCCAGGAATTAAGGAGACTTAAACTTGAGCTACTAACCAGCTTTGCCACTTCGAGTAAAAAGCCCTTCTCTGAAAGGCTCTCAAGTCAATTTCCTCTAAAACTGTATGGATGAGCTAGATAATGTCTGGCTCTGAGATCAATTATATACTATTGGATTCATTCTGTGTGCCAAACACAGGGCTGCAAACAGGTTCACTCTGGTTTGACTCCCTTTGGAGAATTGAATTTCCACCCCTGGGAGAGATTGAGTGAAAATCTAAATTTTAACATGCTCCTCAGGTGACTGATTTAAAATCTGTTCCAAATACTGAGCTGGGCGTGGGGGACTGTGGTATAAATCATTCTGTTTTCAGCCTGAAAAGACTTGTCCCTTCCCGGTGCTTTTCCTTAATCTTTGATTTGTACCTCTACTCAGTGTTCTGCATTTGCTTCTGTCACTATCAGAAGTTGAGGGCGAGAATCCCAGCACCAGGTAGTTGGGACCCAGGGACTAAAATTGCTTATGGCGCTTATGACTGACTTCTTGGTATTTTGTTTGTAGGAGATAGTCTTGATGAAAGATTTCATTTCGTCTTGAATTCTGATGATTTCTTTCTAGGCAGGCTGTGGGAGGAATAACCTCCCTAGGAGCGGTTTTCCAGAAACACTGAATCACTAGCAGCTGGAGCAGGAGAGTGGAGAAAAAGGTTTAGTTTCATGTATAGTTGGCATTTTTGTGATACTTTTATATTTTTTTGCCAAAAGCTCTTTTAGGTTCTTCCTCCTTCCCTCCTGCTGACTTACAATTAAGGGAGGGAATAATGATAGAAAAGCAAAAATTCCGGAAGCTGGATATAAACATTGGGTTTGTATTGTACGAAGAGTTAAAGTATTACTTGGAGCCCTAAGTATATGCACATAATAGTCATTTCCTTCTAAGGCGATACCGTAGGCATGTCCTTCTAACCTGGGTGTGGCCTGCAGAGCCGGATAAGATTCTAGTGTAGAGAGGTCAGAGACCCGGCCTTGCTCCACCAGGCAGCAGCCAGGCGGGGGTGGGGTGGGAGGAGGCCCTAGGCTAAGAAGCTACTCTGGGATGGTTCCCGAGACCCGGTTCTCAGGGCTGGGGTCTTGCTGGCTGGGCGCTCTGCAAGCTCCGGAGTGAGAAAAGGCAAGAACAGAACTGCAGCGTCAATATACTAGAGTCAGCAGAGGGGCTAAGGGCACTGAAGGTGGGGTAAGGGGGAAGTAGGACCCGGCGGAGCTTCCTTGGCCAGGGTGGGAACTAGGCGGGAGAAAAGGGGGGGGGGGAGAGTGAAAAAGAGAAGGAGATGGAGTCCGCACTCGCTGCGCTGCACGAGTTGCACGGCTCTGGTGGACCCAACCAGGACTCTATAAAAGGAGCCAGTCTTCGCCACCACTCACACGCTCCAGCCGAACTGGCGCACGCCTCGTTCTTCCTGCTCTCACAGACACCCGCCCTTTCCTCGTGCGCCCAGTCCCCGGGACCCGTGCTCCCACCGGTATGACTCTGAGCAGTGCCCACGGGAGCAAAGCGGCAGTGGCCGTGGCTGCAGGCCAGCCTGCAAAGCCGCAGCCCCATCCTTCGAATACCCCCTTTCACGGCCCCGTCTCTGCGGGACAGCTCGCCAGTGTGGCCAGCGCGTGAAAAGCAGGAGAGGGCAGAGCTCTGGTTCAGCGCGAGGCGAGGCGCGGCCCCGTGCGGCTCTCAGACTTCACCCCACCCAGCTTTGGCGGCCGCAGCCACCGCAAGAAACTACCCCAGCGCACCGGGAGGGAGGTGGGAGTAATGCAAGACGCGGAGTACTGGCAAGCTGGCCAACCTTAGTCTCCACAGCTGGGAAACTCCTGCGGGCGGGACTCTGCAGATCCAGGAGCGCCTGGGTTAGATGCTCCTCAGCCTATGCAATTGGGGTAAGATACCCCACTTGTCCGGAGCCCTTTTCTCAATCAAATAACCTTCCTCCATCATTAGACGTTCTGTGAGAACTAGATCTAAGCAGGGCTAGAAGGGCCAGTCTTTAAGAGGGGTCTGAAACGGGGCTTGAAGAAGAACAGCCAGAGACGCAGCGCCAGCGCCAGGCGCACGGGAAGTGCAGGGGACGCGCCTGCCCGCCTCTGCTGCTGCGCCCATGACCTCTAGTTCCAGCTGGGGACCTGGGCGGAGAAGTAATTGAGAAACCCACAGACTTAACAGCTGAGGGCAAGCCTGTGATCTCCTCGGCGGTCCTTTCGTCCTCTTGTCTGCTCCATGCCTGAGAGCTGTGCTCCCACGCCGGGGCGAGAAGAGCCATGGAGGAACCCGGCGCTCAGTGCGCCCCTCTGCCGCCGCCCGCGGGCTCCCTGACTGATCTTCCGCCTCTGGCCAACCTCTCGGCCACCCGCTCCAGCAACTGCAGTGCCGAAGGCTACATTTACCAGGACTTCGTGGCGCTGCCGTGGAAAGTGTTGCTGATCATCCTGCTGTCCTTAATCACTTTGGCCACCACGCTCTCCAATGCCTTCGTTATTGCCACTGTGTCCCGGACCCGGAAGCTGCACACCCCAGCCAACTACCTGATAGCCTCCTTGGCTGTCACTGACCTGCTGGTGTCCATCCTGGTGATGCCCATCAGCACCATGTACACTCTCACCGGACGCTGGACGCTGGGCCAGGTGGTCTGCGACTTGTGGCTGTCGTCGGACATCACCTGTTGCACTGCTTCCATCCTGCACCTCTGTGTCATCGCCCTGGACCGTTACTGGGCCATCACGGACGCTGTGGAGTACTCAGCCAAAAGGACTCCCAAGAGAGCCGCGGTCATGATCGTGCTGGTCTGGGTCTTCTCCATCTCCATATCTCTGCCTCCCTTCTTCTGGCGCCAGGCCAAAGCCGAGGAGGTGTCGAACTGCGTGGTGAACACAGACCACATCCTCTACACAGTCTACTCCACGGTGGGCGCTTTCTACTTCCCCACCCTGCTCCTCATCGCCCTCTATGGCCGCATCTATGTGGAAGCCCGCTCCCGGATTCTCAAACAGACGCCCAACAGGACGGGGAAGCGCCTGACTCGAGCCCAGCTGGTCACCGACTCCCCGGGGTCCACATCCTCGGTTACCTCCATTAACTCCCGGGCCCTTGAGGCGCCCAGCGAATCCGGGTCTCCTGTGTACGTCAACCAAGTCAAAGTGCGAGTCTCTGATGCCCTGCTGGAAAAGAAGAAGCTCATGGCCGCTAGGGAGCGCAAAGCCACCAAGACCCTAGGCATCATTCTGGGAGCGTTTATTGTATGCTGGCTGCCCTTCTTCATCATCTCACTGGTGATGCCAATTTGCCGGGATGCCTGCTGGTTCCACCTGGCCATCTTTGACTTCTTCACGTGGCTAGGTTACCTCAACTCCCTCATCAACCCCATCATCTATACCATGTCCAATGAGGACTTCAAACAGGCATTCCATAAACTGATCCGCTTTAAGTGCACAAGTTGACTTGTTATTTGCAGTGGGGTCGCCTAAATGGCCTTTGGGGACCATTTTGGGTCTGGTTCCACAGGTAGGTCAACTCTTCTTTCACCATTACTGGGTCAGAATGAGACTCTCCTGGCAAAGGGCAATGGAAGCTGAGAAACCAGGATAGCCCAGAGAGAGGAGAGAAAGATCAAAGAGGAATGTTTAAACTAAAGGCAGAGCTTTCCTGCTAAGGAGGAGGCTCCCTGCTTTAGATCAGACTGAGCACTGACCCTGCAGCAACCAGTCACAAAGATAGTTGCAACTTTTTTTTAAGTTGAAGAAAAGATGATCTTTGCCTTGTTTTGGTCCTTAGACCTGTGGGAAGCCTTTCTGAGGCAGATCTACATATAGCCTGGCAGTACTTGAACTAGACATTTTGGGGAGAACTTTGTGTCACACCTTCCTTTATTACTTTGGCCTTCAGTTTTTGTTTAATTCAACTTGGTGGGAGAAACCTGTGGATTTGGTGCTTCAATCCTTTAGTGTGGATGGTGCCGAGAAACCTGGAAGGGTTAACAGCAAAACCCTGCTGCTGAAATGTCTATTTTTATTACAATTGACAAAAAAGGAAGGTGGGTGGGGATGGGGAAGAGGGAGAGTTAAACTGAGAATACCTATGATTGATTTCTGCTGATTGTTAAGTTTTTTAATTCCTCTTTAGAGGTTGTCAAACCACATTTTAGAAACACAAACGCAACACTGTGTGCCAGTGCCAAAGTCTGCAGATTGCTTTATTTTTCCACCTAATTTCACGTGCCTGTCATTTTACTCATTTAAATCCCCTTAAATGAACGTTATGATGGGTGACTGAGCCCAAAAAGCTGCTATATTTTTTATTAATGCATTTATTTAAATGGGTTAACATTAGGTAATTACTGCTGTTTGACCAAAAGAATATAATTTATTCCTTAATCAATTCAGTGAAGGAGACTGATACTATAGAAATGCATCTTGTATGAGTAAGGAATGGAAGGCAGTAGAAGAATGTATATTTTGACTTGTAAAAAATCTTAAAAATGCATGAGACTTTTCCCTGGTAGTCATTTGCACTCTCCATCTGTAATTCCTTTGTGTGCTAACCTATAAAGTAACTAAAAGAAGTGGTTTTCTTCTTTAGGTATCTTGAAATGCAGTCAGAGTCCTCGGAACTATATTGAAAGAAAAATAAAAGCTGTTTCTGTTCTCTTGCTATTAAAAGTTTGAGCAGGAACAAATATTACCACATACTGACAAAGCAAGAACTTTTAGAGAAGTGCAAGAAAGGGAAATTGAGTCTTGTTTTCCTTGTAATTCATGGGACCAAACCCTAGACTTACTAGACAATGTGAAAACTTGGCAAGCCTTTGCACCTTGGAAATTTGGAGGCTTGACACCTCCAGAGTAAATTATCTGGAATACTTTAAATTTATCTGCCTTTACACATTTCAATACGATTTAGTTGTTTTCTCAAATTAACTCTGAGAACTCCACAATATAGGACAAGATTACATTTTCTAAAAATGGAAAAAAAAATTATCTAAATAAAAAGGAGTAACCCTAAAGGATCATTTGCACAGGAAAAAAAAAGTGTTTTATGGAGAGCATTTAATATGCTGGAGAAGACTCACACTCTATTTTTTTGCAAGGATTTTTGAAGTTGTTACCTTTTGTCTGCAAGAAGCAAGGTTGCCTTTGTGAAATGGAGTTACGCTCTGCTTGAAACACCCTAGTCCAGATTGTCAGACAATGGATGTACTGAGCTGAAGTACACAGCCTACTTACTGTGCAGAGCTCCACTCTGGGGTAATGACTCTTGAAAATATATTATTCAAAGGTTCACACATAAGCTAAGTTAAAAAGGGAATTTTGATCACCATGTATACCTGTTACAGGGGTAAGATAAGATTTTAAGCATTAGCTAATCCTATATTTCCGCTGGATTCCCAAGTTTCTTTACTCATTGTTTGTGACATTTCTCCTATGGAGAAATCTAGCTTGCTATTGACAGGAATGTGCATTGAGCAGGGTATTATGTCGTTAATACGTATGTCTTTTGTTGCTGCAACTGTGCTTTTTTTGCAGGTTAAGAGGCAATTAAATCAACTTCTAGGAGCCTGAGAGGGGTGAAAAAAATAATTGAAAAAAATAGCCAGTTACAAATTATTTCCTTAGAGGGCCCCTAGAATGATTGTGTCCTCAAATTAGCAAAAGTCACTTTAGTTTAAAGGGTTGTTTGCCATTTTGTAGATTAGCCATATACATTTTTGCTTGACTATTTGGCTGAATTGACTGGATTTTGAGGCATATTGTGTGAAATAGAAGCTTGCAAAACTTGTAGTTATAAGAGATCTAGAATCATCTTCCAGCATTGCACATAATTATGCAAAGTGTATTATTCATCCCAGGGGTGTGTAGTTGAGACTGTTAAGCTCCTTTTCAGTTACTGCTGCCTATCACATAGTTTATTTAATAAACTAGACACATGGCTTCTTGCAGAACATAAAATGGGAGAAGAAAATGTTTAACTTCAACGGAAATGAAAATATATTTTCATTGGCTGAGCTAAACACCATTTTCCATATTGTTTAATTGCACAGATTTTCACACAAATATATGAATGTGTACTCATCCAAAAAATACAAGTATTGTCTTGTCTTTCCAGGAATGTTAGAGTTTCCTTTTTACAAATGGACACTGTACCCATGAATGGTGGTTATTAACTTTAATAAATTTCTTACAGAACAATATTCTTCACTCTTCCTCTCTATTATCTTTATTTTATCTTCTTTAATCAGGAAACCCGGAGAGAACTATGATTCACTCAGCAGAGAGTGAAAACTCAGATTTTGTGTATTTGAGAGAGTTACTGTGACTGAAAATTGCCTTTGGTATTCCACCTTTCAATACATATGTAATTGGAAATGAAATTTAAGAAAACAATGAAATAAAAGTCCTTTTGTGTTCTAAAAATCATTGGGTAGTAATTCTGTTATTATGGAAAGATTCGCTTAGTGAACTTGGGTTGCGTTCAAGAGTTGGAGCCATCATGAGTGAATGATTGATGATAAATGGTACTGAAAAAGACTAGCAATGCTAGCATGATTTGCAGTACTTAAATTTCACCGATAAGAAGAATTTAGAGAAGTGTGCCCCCACGTCTTGCTAAAAGGATAATCCAAATCCCTAAATAAAACTTATTTCTGTGGCCGGACCATACGGGGAATTGTAATGCTAACCCAAAGTTTGTTCAAGTTCTTCAGTGGCTCCACAGGAGAAAAACGGGCAGTCATCTCCTGGGTGATTTATAGCTTCACATGCCCAGTCAGCTAACTGGCTGACAATAAATAAGTTGAGAAAGAACATTTAGCCTTTAGGATGGATATTGAGATTCCAAAACGCCTTGTAGTACTTGAAATATATTGTTATGCACTTTTGATTTTGTATTGACTCTTCTCTGACCCTCCAGCAGGCTTTCCAAGGCTGTAAAAGGCATGGGAAGATATTGCTCCTTTTACTCCTGAGAAACAGCTGGAGGATTTGAACTACTTACCTTTTAGTTAGCAATGTAATGTAACTCTTTTACACTAGGCCACTACAATCTGGCTTAAGAACAAGTTTGGGAAAATTGGAGAAGAGTAGATTGATGATCACAAATACCTGTGGCTTTTGGAATCAGAGTGCTCTAGGTGTGAATTACACACAGAGCTTGTGTGGTTCTTGCTCACAAATGCAAACGTAGACTGTTTCAAGTTGTTGCCAGGAATGAAAGTACTTACCCAAGTGTTTCTGTTCCTTCCTTCTGGCTACACACCCCACTCAGCAGGTGTTAGCTACATTTAGGTTCTATTTGACATAATTTCCTTAATGCACATGGACCACATGTAACATAGAAAAACTGAGGGCCAGTTTAAAAAGGTTGGACAGAAAAAGACCAAACTATCCTGAAGAGAGAAGCTTGATAAGACGTAAATAAGGTTTACTGGCTCACACTTAATTACTCCCCTGGACTGATGGCACACAACCCCAAATGCCAAAGGACAACACAGGAGATGGTTTAATGTTGGTTTTGGCGTTTGTGGTTTTTTGTTTGTTTTTTCTTTCCTTTCATGACCAGAGAGGAAATTACCAAATATTTGATTTCCTTTAAACCAGTTAACTATCAAATCAATGCAAAATATTGCCAACAACATGTGCATCCAGAAACAGATAATTAGGCTGTTCTTCTGAGGTGCCTACGGGTGGACTCAAACCTTTAACATTTAAGTTATAAGCCAAGTACATTAGCTGTTTGGACCAAGTACTCTATAAGCCAAACTACTGTACCTTCCAACCTGTAGAGACCCTACTAGGCCGGGTGGAACTGTCCCACAGGGTTTCCGAAGGGGCCCTGGTGGCACAGCAGTGAACTCCTCAGACGCTAAGTGAAACGTCTGAGATCTAATGGTAAAAGATTAAGATAAATATATAATTGGTAGTGGCTCAAGGCTTTAACTGGACCTGTAGTTTCCAGGAGAGAAGCAGCTGGTAGAGGAAAGCATGTGGGAAGTGAAAACTTCTGAACCTTTCTTCAAAACCCGCTCTTGAACAGTCCAGCAGGGGGCAGAGTACCTCTGAGTTGTATAGTAGATGCAGCTACCACTCAAGTTAATTCTCTTATTACTGGGCACTTTGCAAATGATATAAACTCCTTGAAACTTAGTGAAAGCAAATATCCGTGAGCCACAGGAAAGGAGGTTCAATTAAAACAGCCGATATTCAGAATACAAATGCAGGCAGAGGATCCATAGAACAACCCTTCAATTTTTTCCTTGGCAGTTCCTGGCGAGTTGTGCTGCTAAGCCAAAGATCACACCTCTCTGAAGGCTCATATCTATTGGACAAAGAGAAGCAATCTCTTCTTATGCAGCTTACTGCCTTGGAACCTGCAAAGGGCAAGAGTTGATTCTCTCTCCTGGGGGGAGGGAAGGACGGGAGAGAGAGAAAAAGAGAGAGTGAACGAAATTCAGTTATTATTTAGCTC